TGGTCGCTCTGGTTGTGCTCATCAAACTGGTGACACTTGCCATAGTCTTTGGCGGACATCTCGTCGGCCTCGTCGGTGCCCATCCGCTCATAACAGACCGATCGCATGATGTAGTACTCGATGAGACGTCCGGGCGATGCGTTGCCGTACTTCTCGGCCACAATCTTTGCGGTCAACTCTTGAGCGCCAGTCAGCGGACAGTTGTCGGCCGAGTTGTGGCGCTTCACGCCTGCCATGCGATCCATTAGGCGTTTTACTCGCGGGTCGTACTCATCGTTGACGGCCTGCAAGTCTTTGTCGGCTAAATTGATAGCGAATCCAAGCGCCGGCGTTTGGCCAGCGATGGCCAGATAGGCCTCACATCTCATCAGATAGTAGTCGATGTGTTGCCCAAAGTATAGCGCTTTTGTCAGATACTTTTGCGTTAAGTCTATGACAAACGCTAACAATATCTGAAAGCGATTTGATTTGGTAACCACGCTAACTTTGCTGAGAGACAATGACGACAGGTAGCGGAAACCCTTGGCGAAACGATAGTTAACTAATTTGATATATTGACAACTGATTTGACAAATACAACGAAATAATGGTTTTTTGAAATAAATGTTTTCCGTTATAATGGAAAAAACCTGATATAAAAGTAATAATACAAAAATCATACAAAACTCGCGAGAGTTTAACACTAACTTAAGCCTTATTTTTAGGGGATTTATATTGAAATTGAGTTTGAATTCAAAAAACACTTTACGTTCAAAAACTTTAACTCTTTTCGTAAATTACTGTCAGTTTTGAATTTGAAATTGAAATTAGAGACATAAAGCTAACGATCCATTCATTCATCCAATCATTTACTTCATTATAACCATCATTAGTGATAAATAACTTAATACTGTGTTTTCACTGGTAATCCATTCATTAAAAGGAAAGCAAAAATACAGCAAAACTAGAGCTCAAGAAAGAGTAGAGGAAGAGGTATAGGAAGAGATGTATCGCAATAATGAGTCAATTAGTGGGGACTTTGTCTCGCNGACAGCCCTTCACATCCCAGACCGCGCCGACAGTGATGGCCGACGAGAGCGCCACTAATGCTGTTTCTGAATCACAGCATCGGATCCAGGGATTGACAACTGGTGGTAATCCACTCGTCACTGATATCTCGCAACTGATGTCACGACTATTGAGCGGAAAGTTTGCGCCCAAAAGAGTACTGTTCGGTGCCTACGAGTGCTCGGTGTCCACCATTGAGTTCACGGCATTCAAAGACATCAAGTTTTTTAACGTAAAACAAAACAACACATCCGACGAGCGCTTCGAGACGATCGTCATAGAGATGGCAGACATCGAGACACTCCTCATGTGTTTAGACGTGAATCTTGTAATGATTTTAAAACAACAAAAAAGTTTTATTTTTTGTTGTTTTTTCTATTTTGCGCATAAAAAACGAAATCGAGGTTTGAATTAATTTTGATTTCTCTTGTCTTTTGCCGGCAAAAAGCCATCCATTTTCATAAAAGTGAATCCCATTTGTGGCACAAAAATCCAGATTCCTCTCCATCTGAGACCTCACGCCTCCAATCAATCGGTGTTTGACGTCAACTCGCGCTCAGATGGGGAACGGTATGTGAAAGTGGTGTTCGCTGACTATCGGCATCACAACTGGTGTTTTCTTAACATTTTGATGTATAACCGGCGCTCAAATACATTAACCACTCATAATATATCCCCCGAAGAGGCGCTCAGACTATTGACTTCGTCCCAGAGCTCGATGTGAGCCATAATTTAATGAAAAGTTTTCTGTATTTTTTATTTTGCAAATTATTTTATTTCTTTTTAAATTCTTTTTTACAAACTATTTATTACTTTAATTTACTTTAGATTAAAATAAACGGTTTAAACTATTTTTATAAAATTTTACCATTAATTCATTATAAATAAAACTTATTTTTTAAAACTTTTATTTAAAAAAAACAATCCATAGATAAAGAAATAAATATTTTACAAACATTTTCTGTAAGACATAAGAATACACAGGAATAGAGATTTTAAAAGTTAAAAGTTATAACAACATATTTAATAAATAATTTTGTTTTATAAGTATTTTGTTTATATATCAGAAAATTCAATAATCAATAAATCTGTGACTAAATTGACAACATTTGATCAAATACTGCGATTAGTGTCTGAACTCTTGGACTTAATCTCTGGATTGTCTGAAACTTGCTGTTCATTTGATGATGTCTTCGTACGTGTGGTCGCACTGCCGCCAGATTTAACAGCAATCTGTTGATCACTACTCGGCACACGTGTAGCCATCGGTGCAATTGGTTGCGGCGGCGGAGCGCTTGTCGGCTGAACAGGAGTTTGAGTGGACGGCGCTGGAGGTCCGGCACCGGTCTTCAGCACAACCATCTTATTGTCGGCCAAATATTTATCCCTTCGTTTCAATTGTCGGACAAACTTTGCCGTACAATAGGCCGACACGAAGAGGGATGTGATGAACGCCATCATAAAGAGATGCCATCCGTTGAACGCCTGCCACATAAGACTCACTCCCAAGACATGCAGACCTTTGAATTGGTGGTGAAAAACGTGATAAAATAGGTTTTAAAATCAAGCGCTTAAGTGATATACAGACCGACGCCATAGAGATATATCTGCGAACACAAGAGGACAAAAGCGACACACGTTTCGGTGATCCACGAAATTGATCCCAAATTAGTGAACACAAGACCCACTGTCGCGATGGATAATAGGGCGCCAGCGATGGACACACCACTCAATACGAGATATATTTTGGGAAACCACAGGATTGTAGCCATAGATATATATGACATGAATTCCAAGAAGTATATCATAACCGACGCTCTGATGGTATTGGCGACGATTATGGCACACCTGAGCCGGTTGTCTATCTGCGGAACCGCTGACACGTTCAGAATCGACACCGCTTTGCGCGAAGACACCGCCGGCGATGACATCTTATATGACAATCGTTTCGATGCGAAACACACTTCAGATTAAGTGATATAAAACACAACGACTTTTAATATGAATTGAATTAATAGTAACCGAAAAAAGTGGACAAAAAAACAGTTTAAACACTCATTGAATATAACGTGCGGTCAAATAGTATCGCAATTGAAGGCATAGTATTTGATTGCAAGCATTGAATGCATTGATTGAATGCTATTATAAAGTGATTGTTATATAAATGAAGCGTTGAATTGAAATTGCGTTCAATTTTCTAAATCGTAATTCACTTTACATTCCATTCATTATTGAGTTTCTGATCGAAGTTTTGGTCACTTTTTTATTGCAAACAATTGTGAAAAATAAAATCACTTTTGGTTTCAATCAAACCCTTTGACCATCCGTTTGATGGGCAATGTCTTCGGCAGAGGATCAGGTCGTGGAACTAATTGTCGGCGATATTCATCTCAAAGGTATCATTGATTTTGATTTTTAATGTATTTTTTGAATTGATTTCATCTATGAATCCATTGATAGCCTCGAAGTCATGTCTCATCGAAAACAGCGATTACTTCAGACAAGTGTTGGCCAACCAATCGGTGGCCAGCATTCTGTTGGTCACCGAACAGGAGGTCGAGTGTCTGCATAATGTGCTGAAAGAGGTGCTCAAAGTGCAGACATTGGATCAGATCACCACATGCTTTATGACCACCGATACGATCTTCAAAACCATACAAATCGCACACAAATACCACTTCTTCGAGACTGAGAGACAATTCTCGGAACAACTCATGAAACGCTTCCAGGAATGGAATTTTGCCGACAATTTTCGGATTATCATTGATTACTACAAGATATCATTGGCAGACAATTTGCTTCCTCTGCAAGAGTGTTGTCTGAAGATTGTGGACCAAAACGCCGACTCATTCCTCAATGTGCAGACATTGGATCAGATCACGACATGCTTTATGACCACCGAAACCATCTTCAAAACCATACAAAGCGCTCACAAATACAACTTCCCTGAGATTGAGAGACAATTCTCGGATCAACTCATGAAACGCTTCGAGGAATGGAATTTTGCCGACAATTTCTCGATTATCATTGAGTACTACAAGAAGTCATTGGCAGACAATTTGCTTCCTCTGCAAGAGTGTTGTCTGAAGATTGTCGACCAAAACGCGGACCCATTCCTCAAAGTGATTAATTCGCCGAATATTTTGCCCACACTTTCGGCCCAAATCTTGACAAACATTATAAGTCGCGACACGTTTGGCATCAAAGAGCGGCGGATCTTCTCACTGATCCACAACTGGACAAAACTGAACGGTTTTGACGAAACGCTTATCCGAACCATTCGTTACGACAAGTTTGACGAGATTTTCACCACATTTGGCCGCTATTCATGCGAACCATTCTTCAGACAGTTCTGGCTATACGTGTCTCACATGAACG